ATTTGTGTACATGTTTAACAACTATTTGGGTTAATATTCACAAGTTTTAAAAAATTTAAACTCAAACTATTTATAGTAGTTGATCTCTATACTTATATATCTGACTCACTCGCAATTTTCTAATGATGCGAGATTTGGTGTGTTATATTAACGTAGAAGTATTTTTTTTTAAGCTTAAATTCCTAAAACATAAACATTGTAATTAGGGGTGTTCATATCCGATCCAATTCAATTGATCTGACCTAAACTGATCCAATTCAATAAAAAACCGATTCAAATCGATATAAAATTGGGTTGATTTGAATTCTAAAATTTTAAAACCAATATAATTGGCTTGATTTGTGATTTTACCTTCAAATCGCCCGAACTGCCCGATTATAAAATAAAATTCGATTAGAAGATAATTTAATTAAATAATATAACATATTTTTTGTAGTATTTTAAATTTTTTTTCTTATTTTACAAGATAATAACTCCATTAACTTAATTAAAAAAATAAAAATAGAACATCTTCATATTCCCCAGGTTACTTTTCTATTTTAATCATACACTTTAATCCAATTTCTAAATTTCTAATTCACCTGCAACTCTATTCCCTCAGAACTGGTTTGCGCTTTTACTTTTAGAATCCTAAATTTTTAATTTATTCTTAAGATAATCTTATAATTCTCCTAACTAAGTTTTAAATAAGTATCATTCTAAAAATCTTAAAACTATATGATAAAATTAATCTTAATATTCTACTATTCTTGGATATCTGGTTTAGATGTTTTAAATTTTGATTACGAATGCTTTTAATCAATTTTAGTAATATTCATGTTAAATTTTATTCATTTTTAATAAGATTTAGAAAATGGGATTAAATTATTAATGTATTAAGAAAAACAAAACTAATTTTAACATTCAGCAATTATTTACGCTGTGTTAGAAATTTGGAGTTATTTTTTATTGTTGTTACTACCTCTAGTATGTAACCAAGAAAAATTTTAAGAGCTTTTCAAATTTTATAAATGTAAAGGAGTATAAGAAATTATTTATAATTTGTACCTTTTATTATGTTTTTATTGATTTGGATGTTAATATATTTTATAATTATGCTTTCTAGTTGATGTTAATATATTTTTACATTATCTTATATATTTAATAATATTAAAAATCGATTAATTCAATTAAATCATATCGATTTTATTTAAGTTGGATTTGTTTGATTATCATATAATAGTTGATTGATTTAAGTTTGAAAATCGAAATCCACCTATCACCAGAATGACCATACCAGGAAAACGAAACACCACGTCCAGAATCTTCTTAGAACTGGGTCTGGAAAACCCAAACCCGGAAGGCCGAAATGATTGTTTTGAATATTGATCCACCGGCTCAAAAAAACACGAGGTAAACCAGAGCTGATTGTGATAGTGTCGTTGTTTGCTCCCACGGTTTTTTGGCTTTATAACGTGTTGAGTGATTGTTATAAGGTTTCCATTTTCAGCTTGCATATATGCAATTCTCCGGCCAAGCACTTTTAGAAACTGGGAATTGCTCGCACATTACCCAGAATTAAAAAATCAACAATCATCTAATCTAGCTGGTGAATTCATATAAATATATATATATATGTTTTTGCATGACCAAACCCACAAATCAAATCTAGTAATGTGTGAATTTGTAATTTGCAGGAATTTATATTAAAGCGTTTGGGTGTGTAAGAATTATCAAGGGATTGAAGTGTTGATTAGATGAGGGTTTTAACCGTGCCTTTGGAATTTAGGAGAAGACTTTTTAAAATTGTAAAAAGAAAACGTAAACAGTAGTTAGTGAAGGGGAGAAGGCGTAGAGCGGTCGACTAGGTAAAAATAAAGTGGCAATAACATTTTAGTGGGGTGGCAATAACTGAACTGTTGATTAGGTGAGGATTTTAGCCGTGCATTTGGAATTTGAGAGAATACTTTTTGAAAAATTAAAATACACTTAGGAATAGAATAATAGTCAACTAAAGAAAAAATTGGTGTTACAAATATATTAAATGAGAAATAATTTTTGTATAATTTTTTTGTTTTATTTTTTTATAATTTGGTTGTCATTAAAATAATTGATTCTTTTAATTTTTATGAAATTTATAATATTAAATATATATTTATTTAATAATATATAAAAATTATTTTAAAAAATAATATAAAAAAATTATCTATATAATGTCATCTATACCAGAGGACGATAGTGGCTTTGGTGGCTCACCCTGCACCCTAAGTGGGCTGCATATTTCATTAAATTTATATGATAAGATTTTGCCAGAAGGTAGGAACGAGCATGCTCTACTCCTGAGTTTCTTGAGATACCATGAACCCATTTTCTCGTCGGGGTTTTTGTTCTTTGCTATCTTATCTCTAGTCCAGGGGTATCATTCCTCTGAAGGATTTGTTAGGAGTGTTGATTGAAGTCAAGGTGTTGCAATTTCTACCTTTCTTATTTGAACTTGGTTTTCTGGGATTCAAAGCACCATGTTATTATTCAACACATTTTCTGTCGGTTACGAACCAGAATCCCTCATTCCTTGTGCCTTTATCTATTCAGGGCTAGTGTTCTGTGGACGAAATGTAGATTAAACACTCCCCTTGGTGGAGATCACCCCCTGCCCCCTGGTAAGGGCAGGAGTTCCGAGTCCCAGGGTTAGCATTTCCCCCTCCCAAGAACAGGTGGTTAAAAAAAAAAAGAAAAAGAAAAGAGAAAGAAAAAACCTATTGGACTTTTTAGACAGCTAATCTCGCCCTCCCTCAAAGACATTACCACCCCCAACTTTCAGAAGCCATTTTTTAAAATCAAATTACCATGAGTTGGTCAGGAAAAGAAAATGAAACTCCACATGCATTATGAAATTCAGAATGTAATACTGATATAGATAAATGATCTTCGGGTATCAATACCAAAGAGACATCGAAGCTTTGCTCTCAACAAATTTGACTACCTAAAATAGGTGTGGGTTTTGAACCAATATAAGCTGTCAGCTTGTTTCATCTAATTCACATCACCATACGAAACTTCCCCAGATTTAGTCCAGGTGGATGCTGGCTATCTCTCTGTCTCTGCTGCTGTGGAGTCTGGCCTTTTCTTACACTGTATGGCTCGTGGGACAAATATGAAGCCACGGCTATGGCGACGACCAAAGCTGACAGTAGATGGGGAGGAGTCAGATGTGCTTAGTTTAGAGACTGCTGAAACAAGGCCATTGATGGTTTCATCTTCAACTTCCATCATACTTGAAGGTTCATCCTTACTGTGAAGAGCTTGTTTACGATGTTGCTTCTGCCTCTGTTTCTTGGATGACCGAGCCTTCTTGAAAAACTCAAACGAAGTGGGGAATTTGTGCTTGTCCACCTGATGTTGCTGCCGACTTTTGTAGCTCTTGAACTTCAAACCACAACCTTTCACAAGGCACTCATACTGTTATCCACAGATAGAGGAAGATTATTCATTAAACAAAATTACAATGAAGAAATCCATGAATATTGAACAAATTGAAGAAAATTTCTAATATTAAAATTAATTAAAAAATAAAGAAAGAATATGTATGGATAAACAAGGTAGCATATTGGCATCAGATCAGATTAGTATCGTTATGGTCCACCTAACCATATCATAAGTCTTGATCACCCTCCAAGTGTCTAACTCTCACCTTCAATCCTTCCTTTTTATCATTCTAACTTGGGTTCTTTGCAATTCCAATTGACTGATGGGTAGGGTGGGGTAGAGGCTGGTTTCTGGATTGTTGATCCAAGTAAGTACGAGAAGAATGCTCAATGAAGGAAAGGATAAGTTTTGATGCTTTGGATAACCAACAGATGACAACTTAATCATCACATTTGGTCCCTCAATTCATGCAGAAAATATGACTTAACACAATTGCTTAACAACAGAGAACAAGACAGGAAATCGCATAAAGAAATGGAAAACCCTAAATTAACAATAAATGAGAGAAATTTCCAAACAACAATATACAAAGTTAATGAGAGAAAAGATGCCACAGCATAACCACGAGCAACTTTTGCTTGAAAGAAGGAATCATGCGCCTCTGAAACATGTATGCTGAGCAGGCGTGATGTTGGATAAACTCTAGAGCACACTGAACAAGATGCAGTATGATGTGCATTATAATGATTTTCAAAGTCCTCCAATGAAGTCAATCGCGCACCACAACCGACAATTGGACAGAATACCTCCCTGCTCAAGCATCAGTTTCCAGAATTAAGGCCCAAACTGAACTTTAAAGTGGAAAATATCTCACTTCAATTTTTTTTTCTCTTTTTTATCTTGTCCATGTTCAAACATGTCAATACCTAGTATATTAAACTATAACATACCTTGAATATACATGGCACGAAAATCAACATCTTGGACAGCAAATACTTAAGAAATTAGATCGAACAGAAACAATTATGATTCTACACGTAGATGAGGCATAGACAAAATGAAACATGATAGATAATGAACTTGAATGACAAAAATAAACCAAGCCGCCAGCCCCTTTTCTTTAGCTGAAACTTGTAAATACATAATAATATTGCAATTTGCAAATCAGGTCCAAAAAAATTCAAACAAAAAGGATATAGCAGTTTAACAATAGCGGGTGGGTACAAAGTAAAACCTGGTATCCTGGTCTACCATCTTCAGAAGCTGATGCTTTTCATCTTCTGTTAAATCTAAGGCAACCTGCACATTACATGAGGCAAGAGATGGAATATGAGAAAAGGCTCTAGAATACTCATACTACAGTAATTACTGAAATTCATCATTGCATCCAAACCAAGAAAAATTCAAGATCCAAAAACAGATTATTCGCAGGGAAATTACGTCAACTCGAAGTCGGCATCGTCTAAAAATTAATTGAAAAGGAAATTAAAAAGAAAAAAAAAACCTGTTTGGCGAGAAGTTCTCTCTCCAGGTTGCCGGTGGCAAAGAAAGAAGAGTCGGGACCAAAACGTCGGCGAATGGAGGTCCAGTAGGGAAACGACAGGTCGGTTTCGGAGTCCAGAACCATAGCCATAGCCTGGTGTGGTGTGGTGTGGTGTTGTTGGTACAAGCGAAGAAGCGAGATGCCGATTTCGAAATTGAAAGAAACACTGATCAGGTTTTTGCCAGGTTATGGTCTTCTGCTGGAGTAGAGGAAGCAAAGACACTTCATAAAAATTTTGGGTTAGGCCCAATGGGATCCATCCAGTGATGGGCCTGATGGCAGACCGCAGAGCGCAAACCCACACTTTGGACCCTTGGGTTACTGTGACAGTAGCGGCGAACTACTTACATTTATCTTTTTATTTTTAATAATTAAAATTTATTTACTTTATTAAAAATAATTATTTTTTTCATTTAAAAAGACATAATAAGTCTCAACTATATATTGAAAGTGAAAAAATTAATGATTAAAATTTTATATAAATGTCATGTGTTAAACTTATGTGCAAGTGAATCTCTTATATATATATATACATATATATATATGATGTTAGCGTTTATTAGCCAAATTTAATAAAAAAATAAGGAAAAAAAAACTTTAAAATGACATCATCAATTTCATTCTTTTGCTTTTTTCTTTTCCCTTTTATTCTACAATGTAGCATATGGTGCATAATTTTAGAGATACATGTTTGAATATTAAATTAAGTGTAGAGGAATTTGGAAAAGGAAGAGGGTTATTTTTTTTTTATATATAATCCATCATTAAATATATATATATATATATATAACAGTTTCAATTGTTATAATTGCCTCTGCAGCCCACTTACATTAATTAGAGGTTTAATTTACTTGTTTCAGTTTATGGAATAAATTAAGGTCTATATATTTCTTTTCCCATGTTATTCAAATAATTAAAAAAATAATATTTACGTACAAATTAAGCATCCCATAAAATTAATCCCTAATGCTGATGAAAATACAAAAATATATTCATTAGCCATGTAGAACCCATACAGAACCCATATAGAACCTTACATATATATTTTTTTTGACACGGCAAATTACTCTGTATTTTTTTTTTGACCAAGAAGAAGAAGAATCTTAGGTAACAAATTAATTAATACCTGCTTTCGGCAGCAAAATGAATACTTTTGACTTAATTAATTAATTAGTGGATCAATTAAAATGTTAATCCATTTTAAACTTTCCAACACTAGAACAAATGAATTGCCGCAGTAGTGACGGTAGTGACGATAATAAATTAATCAAAGGCTGCAGCAAACGTTTTTTTCCCTAGGAATTATTCTTTGTCCAGTAACTTTTTCCTTTAGGAAATTTATATTCAAATTAATTAATATTTCATTCCTTCGTATATAAACTTCAACGGTTCAACCCCCTTTCAGAGTTTATACCGCACGCATGCATGGTTTTTTTTTTTTTTTTTTTTTGAGGATGGAGAAAGGGAGTTTTTCAAAACGATTGTAAAACTTGAAACCCCGATTACTTCACTTAAGTACATTACGGCTTGGGTCAAACTATTGGACCTAAAAGTCAACTTCACACGCATGCATGCTTGAACATTAAGGATTCGAGTATACTCCTACTCCTAAAACATTACAGAGATATTAATCAAACAAAAAAGATATCTGTAATAAAAAATTTGACTATTTGTCATGGGCCCCTGATCGCCCCAGTAAAAAAAAAAATGATGTGACAAAAATAAAAACGATCTCATCTTGGTTCCATTGCCTATTTTCCAAAGAAAAAAACAAACGATGTCATCTTCTGCATCGGCCTTAAAATTTGACTATTTGTCGTGGGCCATGATCGTCTACTAGAAAATAAAAAATGATGTGACAAACAAATAAAAATGAGGTTGTCTTTGAGCATACACCTTAAAAACTTTTATGTTTGATTAATGTCTCTGCAATGTTTTAGGAGTAGGAGTACACTCCATTGAATAAAGAATATTTTGCTGTCCAAAAAGAAAAAATGTATGCTAGGTTCTAATGCTGATCGAAATATAGAAATATATACTCATTATCCTTATAGATTCATACATACATTTTCTTTTTTTTGACAGCAAAATATTTTTTATTTAATAGAGTATACTCTGCCCATAAAAGTTACAAGATACATGATTATCACGTCATTTATACCTTTTAGTGGACAAATTAACTTGTCCCATTTGATTATTCATGGCATTTGAAACTCTTTCAAATTGTAATTCTTTAATGGGTCAATATAAGGTTTTTTTGTGCTACTCCCGCGCGTATGGACGTATTAGCTTAGTACCAACGTGGAACTAGTGATTCCGTTGATGGCAAGGAATAGTCCTAATCCGATTTCTTCCTATCTGACAGGCAGGTAAAGGACAAAGGATTTCATGAATAATCATATGGACAAAAATTTAACTATACGGATACTGCTATATTCAATTTCACCGTAGCACCTAAAATATGATTGTCACATCATTTTTTACTTTTTAGTGGACCATTACACCACCCTAAAATTCAAAGTCTTCTAAAAGATAAAAATGATGTGACACTGATGCCCGGTGCAATGACCCCACCCGGATAATATGAAGCAGATTAAACTTTGGCTGCCACAGTGCAATGACCCCACCCGTATTGTATTATATAAAGCAGATTAGACTTTAGGTGCCACGGTGCAATGACCCCACCCGTATTGTATTATATAAAGCAGATTAGACTTTAGGTGCCACGGTGCAATGACCCCCAACCGTATTGTATTATATAAAGCAGATTAGACTTTAGGTGCCACGGTGCAATGACCCCACCCGGATAATATGAAGCAGATTAAACTTTGGCAGCCACGGTGCAATGACCCCACCCGAATCCGGCTCTCTATATAATGCAGACCGCCCCCTCCCCTCTCTGCAAATTCAATGGCAGACCGCTCCATGTATAACTTCTTCAACCAGAGCCTACCTTCTGCGGCCAAACCCACCAAGCATGCAGCAGATCCGTCCACCATCTCATCTCCGAGACGTTTTCCTTGCCTCTACTGTCCCCAGGAGTTTGACACCTCTCAAGCTCCCGCCGGCCATCAGAATGCTCACAAGCGTGAGCGAGCCGCTGCTCGGCAGGCGGCCAAACCCACCAAGCATGCAGCAGATCCGTCCACCAACTCATCTCCGCGACGTTTTCCTTGCCTCTACTGTCCCCGGGAGTTTGCCACCTCTCAAGCTCTCGCCGGCCATCAGAATGCTCACAAGCGCGAGCAAGCCACTGTTGCTAGGCCAAACTTTCCGGCCAACAACCTGCAGGAATACCGCCTACTTCCTCTGTTCCCGGCTTATCCACAGCAGCAGCACCAGGACCTAAACCTTGCTTCCAGCTCGGTCCCTCAGAGCTTTCAGGGCGTTTCGACTGCTGATGCTCTCTCCACTACCACCGATGTGGATGATTCTGCCAATATGAACCTCACCCTCCGCCTGTGAAGGACTTTAGACTGAATGGTATGGAGATATATATAAATGCTGGTTTTATTAATAAAATGGGTTTTTAAGTTTGATGATGAGAGTTTGTTGGCATCAATTCTCTAATTATAATTCTCTCCAGCAT